TTATTGCGATTAATTGCGTTGGTGAAATTAAGAATCTATCTTTTTATTATGAATGAAATTCGCTTCTACATAGAGTTATAAAAAGAGTTTTCTTTTCATTAAACATCCAATTCACCCCCCTCTTGGCGCATCTCGAAACTTCAAAAAATACACTCCATATATTAAGTTTTAGATTTATTAATGCGAAAACCTTTAGACTCTAAAGTTGACCTACATAATTCAAGTTTACCTTCAACTCCCTTTCTACTATTATCAATTACAAGAAGAATATTATCAGCAAAAAGTATATACCAAGGTACATTCTCTTGCAAATGTCTAGTAAGAATATCCATAACATACTAGCTAGAGAAAAAAGCATACAACAAAATACATTCTCTTGTAAATGTCTAGTGAGAACATCCATAATTAAAGCCAAGAGCATACACCAAGATACATTCTCTTGCAAGTGCTAGTGAGAACATCCATAACAAAAACAAATTAAAAGCATACACCAAGATACATTCTCTTACAAATGTCTAGTGAGAACATCTATAACAAAAGCAAAAACATACACTAAAATTTATTCTCTTGAAAATGTCTAGTAAGAACATTCATAACAAAACCAAAGGCATACACCAAGATACCCTCTCTTGCAAATGTCTAGTGAGAACATCCACAGCAAAATCAAAAGCATGCACTAATGTTCATTCTTTTGCAAATGTCTAGTGAGAACATCCATAGCAAAATCAAAATCATACACCAATGTTCAGTCTCTTGCAAATGTCTAGTGAGAACATCCATAACAAAAGCAAAAATAATACACCAAGATACCTAATTTCTTACCGGAGGCAACGACCTTCCCTTACCAGAGGCGGCGAGTAGAGGCAACTAACGGCGAACGGTGCGGTGAAAATCGGCAAGGGTTCAGTCGTGTTTAGGTAGCTCTCGGATGCGAGAGAAGCTATCTGAAGGAAGAGGGAAACAAATGAGAAGTCTGACGACGGACGGGTGGAAATAGGACTTACCGTCAAATTTTTCGGCGGATTATCTGTCGGTTTGTTGACCTGTACAAAGAAATAAAAAAAAGAAAATAAAAATACCTTACCTGCTCTGCCGAAGCACGTCGCACGACCTCCTCCCACGATCGAAGTCGCGTCTCACCAGACGGCCACGATCCCTCCTCGCGACGTTAAATGCACACAAGAAGGAGGCCTTTGGCCTCTCCCCCCCCCCTCACTCCCTTTCTCTCTCGCTCTCGCTCTCTCTCTCCCGACAAGTTCCCTTCCAGGTCGGATCGAAAGTTATGACATTTGATCCAGACAAAGAACTTGAACTCACACTTGAACTCGTGCTATACAACATTAAGTGAGAGTTGTAGACTCGATGAGCACGAGTATAGATGAGACTTAACTCGGACTCAAACATATGCAAAGGACAAGGTTTGAATCATGTCCAAGGAAACTCAAACTACAAGAACATTCGTACAGTCAAAAGTGACTCAAAGTACGTTATAAGATCTCGATGCACAAACTCCTACAACAATCCCTACAAATGCCTGTTGATTGAGATGACAATACTAGAGACCAGCAATAAAAAACATGTCCTCTACAAATAAGTACAATCAAGACCCACCTGAGATTGGTGAAAGGTGGGTGTGATACAAGAACAATGGGTCTTCTACAAATACCTTCAGGAGGTCGTAGGGGATACGACAGTCCCCTGCAAATGGATACTTGTGGATAACAACAGTGTATTGTAAGTACAATGAATCACTGTGGACACAAGTACGGATATTACCTACAACGACGGTGACCAAGATCTACAAGTGCGTTGAGTACAAAGGCGACTCTACGTACGAAAAGGACACCCTCTGATAGAAGGGATGAAATATTTGAACAAATTAAAACTAAATTTTCTGGTGTTCCAAAGTCTCTTCTTAGTTATATACTTGAGAAGAAAATAATTCTGATGCCCACAAACACCGGAAATAGCAAGTCCACTACACCGAAGAGCCTAAAAAGAGTTCTTTCCAAATCAACGGTCATTGACTCCAAAGTCCAGAAAGTCCCGTCCCCGGTGAATGAGAAAAAGGGAGAAAATATCAAGATGAGAAGACGCATCGTAACACCAAGAATCCAACGCCACCAGATCTGCAACACTTATACAAGCAGACAGAAGGCGTCCACAAACTACCACGCCACCGGATCTGCAACACTCATACGAGCAAACAGAAGGCTTCGATAAGACTACAATGCTACGCCACAGGATCTGCAGTATCCATGCAAGCGGACAGAAGGCGAACAAATATTTTAAAATACCCCCGCACGTGCACAGTAGTTTGTATACACATAGGTACACTAAAAGGGGTAAAAGCAATCATGAAACCCGCATGGGCCCCGGCGAGTATGTTATTGGTACACACGTGATATCTAGAGATGCTGCGCGGGTTATCAAATTTGAACCCGATCCTCCTAAGCAAGCAAATGGGAGTAGACGGGGTATAATTATAAAAAGTCCCCAAACACCCGCATGGGCCCCGGCGAGCGTGTTATTGATACGCACGTGACTTCTAGGGATGTTACGCGGGCCAATAAGTGAATTCAAGTTCGAGCTCGATCCTCCTATGCAAGCAAGCGGGAGTTGACAATGCTCGAACCCTTAAATGAATATCCGGTCACGAGGTCGACTGAGATATTTATTTTACACATTCATATTAAGCCTTCAAGGCCTATAATCAAAAGAATTCACTAACAAGGGTACAAAGCCTACGAAACCCGATCCTTGGTCAATAGCTTGGTCGAGTTGACAGGGTTCAATTAACAAATAAAAATGCCCCAAACACCCCGATGATGGCCGTGTTGAATGCTAATCTCAACCGGAGGGGTTCACAAATATTTTTCAAATGCCTCCCACAAGTCCACTCAAAATCTAAAACTCCACAAAGAGTCCAAAATCCCAAAGTTCAAATATTTAAAATTGAAATCTATCCATCAATATTTAAAACAAAATCCATCCACCCTCCGCAATAGTTTGTCAAGGTGGACAAATCAAAAACTACTGCTCACAAAGAGCCAAATGCTTAGTCGAAAATATCACTAGGATCCATTCTCAAATAATCTCCTGCCAATAAGGATGTGGTACGTGTCCTCTAACTGGCGGTTTGCCGCCAAATGGCACTGCAGGTAAACGGTCATGACCCGGGGCCCTCTGAACCGAGTGGTTTTGCCGCCAAATGGCACCACGAAATACCGGTTATGGCTAGCGCCAATACGTTCCTTAATGGCATTAAATCCTTGAGATATGAATAAATAGGATATGATCGATAGGGCACAAAGCCTTTTGTTAGCTAAGGTGGATTCAAATTTGTCCCCTTAGACAAACATTCATCCCAGGTCCTATAGGAAACCAGAACTCAGATCATAAAGTCCTCGCAAAATGAGGGCAAAATCTCTGGGTAGTGTCTTATTCTACAAACCCATCTGCCTTCTAAAATTTACCTCAGAACTTATATCCGTTAAACTACCTCGCCGAATAAAAAGAAAAGCGGGCGGAGGCCGGGGTCAAATTTTTGGAGCCCACACGGTCATATTACCGACGGATATTACGTCGGTAATTATTCGTCGAGTTTAAGTAAGTCGGTGCAATATTCGCCGGCAATTCCGCCGATTATTATCGACAGAACTTGCGTCGGAAACCTTAAAAATACCGGTGAAACCCCGGCGGAATATGCGCAGGTGTTTTTGCGGCGAAAATTTCGACGTTAAATTACCAACGCAAATTCCTTCGGTAAGGTCGCAGGTTTTTCTGACGTAACTATTTCCGTCGGAAAGTCTGATGGTAATGACAAATTTTCCTATAGTGAATAAGTTCCAAGATAAGTGTTATGGAGAATTATAGAAAAGAAAGGGATTAATAATGCTTATATTCAAGTCATTAAGGATATATATGCAAGAGCTGTTACTTGTGTTCAAACACAAGGTGGTTTGACCAATGATTTTCCTATTTCAATTGGATTACATTAAGGATCAGCCTTAAGTCCATATCTTTTTGCTTTAGTCATGGATGTTCTCACTAGACATTTGCAAGAAGTTATAGCCTGGTGTATGCTTTTTGCTGATGATATTATTTTTGTTGATAAGATTAGAGAGGGAGTTGAAGGTAAACTTGAATTATGGAGATCAATTTTAGAGTCTAAAGGTTTTCGTTTGAGTAGATCTAAAACTGAATATAAAGAGTGTAATTTTAGTAGTTGTAATAGATTTAGTGGGAGGGATTGTGACTTTGGGAAATGAAGTCATTAATAAAAGTTCACGTTCTAGATATCTTGGGTCTATTGTTTAGAGTGATGATGAACAAAATGGGGATACCATTAGTAGAATTCATGTTGTATGGTTGAGATGGAGGAATGCATTGAACTTGCTGTGTAATAGAAAAGTACTCTTAAAACTTAAGGAGGAATTCTATAAGATGGTGGTGAGACTTGCAAAGCTTTATGGTGTCGCATGTTGACCATTAAAAGAGAAATATAATATTAAGTTAAGTGTTGCAGAGATGAGGAATGCTCAGGTGGATGAGTGGCTTTACTCTTAGAGACAAGAAATGAAACGAGCATATACACGAAAAGTTTGAAGTAACTCTAATGGAAGATAAGATTATAGAGAGTCGCCTTATATGGTTTGGCCACATAAAATATTAGCCTTATGATGACTCTAGTAGAAGAGTAGACATATTAGATTTGGCTTATGTTAAGAAAGGCAGAGGTAGACCTAAAGGTTAAAAATTATTAAAAATGACCTTTCTTTATTAGATTTGAATGATAATTTGACTCTTAACAGGACATAATGGAGAAAAAAAAATTCATGTAGCCGACCCGACATAGTTGGATAAAAGGCTTGATGTTATTATTGTAGTTAATCTCAGCTGTAGCATTGCCAAAAAAATCTAATTTCTATTAAAATAACGAACTGAAACTAACTTATAATCATGCATACATAAAGTGTACAAGACTACTGAATTCTTACTCAATACGTATCTCTGGATCAACTTGAGCAACTTCTGAGGTGCTGGGGATACTATCTAAACGAAGATTATTGTAGAAATCAACCAATGCCCATATAATTGGTTCATGGATGTTTATTCTCCAGCACTTGTCAATTACCTGACATTGACACATTTTGTGACCTCACTTGCAATCCAAAATATTAATTCTGCAGCATTTTATTATAAAAATTCAAATACATGTTTATGGATTATCTCTGAATATAGCTTACCCGAACATAAATATATGGATAGACCTGAGCACCATCTAAACTGTCATTGCTTAAAGTGATGGTGGTTTTAAAAACTGGATGACTTGTATCTGGCATGTCTTCAGGTGCCAAGAGAACAGGCATCACTGTCAACGGCAGCTGGTTGTCAAGCTGCAGCTGACCAAGAATGAGCTTGAACCTAAAATGAGTGTAGGTGAGATTAAACTACAAAAAAAGAAGGTATGCATGAACCATAAAAGGCACTTTTCTAGCTAAATAAAACTTGACACAAATTTCCAAAAACAACTTCTAAGACAAATTTATGAAAGGATGCCCATTTTGGGCATGCTAAAATATAATAATACACTGTAAGAGTATCTTGATGAACAATCCAATGAAAACATCTTTATCACAAATCTAGTACCGAATTTTGAAAATAGCACATGAAAATGGTGTGCTTATACATAAAAACAAGTGCTTCGCAGCTTAACATAAGCATTATCAAACAGTCATCAATTCTACACCTAAAATGACAAAAAAAAGATTCACCAGTTCTTTTACGCACTTAAAATAATGCTGCTACTCTGGAATATGATAATTTGAAAATTGTAAAATACGAACACACACAATTTTCAATTAACGAAGGCATCATCATCACCATCATTATTCGCTAGTTCTCAAGCATTTGGTGTTAGCTTTTTGAATTCTTCTCTGCTGAGTCCAGTCCTGTTTAAATCTGTATTTGGCTTCTATTTCGGCTAAACTTTACAAACAAAAACATAGTATAAGGTTTAAAAATAATAAGGTAAAATATCATATATTAGCTCAAGGCTGCAATTTTATATTTATAAGAAATTCCTATAATTCACAGTCCTGAACTGTATACATTTACATTTGGTTTTTATGTTTGCTAGCCTTCATAAACAAAGGAGAACAGTATAAGCTTTCAAATTAATAAAGTAGACTTATATCAGTACTTTAACCTCAAGACTTAAAAGGATTTCAGCTTCATCTACCCAAAATATTTAAAAGTTACATTGTCCAAGTCAAATATATAGCATATTAGATCTGCAATAAAAGATTTAGAGCCAAATTTGGTGCCTAAAAAAGTATATGAAACAGAAATATACAATAACTTGTGTTAGATATTCTTTTAATTGATTTAGGACCAACACGAATGACCATTAAAAACGGATTCTTAGTTTCTATTCAATATTTAGGCCTCATTCATAACAGTAATACCTGTTTGTTTTCCCAGAATCATACCCTGTTGAATATGAAATAAAGACTTTCTCCAAGTAAAGGTACAAGAGCTCTCTAGGATGATGATCAATCAAGGATATGCCAACAACCCCCAGCTCAATTATAAGCTCCAGGGGGGAGGGGCTGACTTGCATCTCATTCAATGATGAGTTGTTAATTTTATCAAGCGGTTCAGTCCTTTTCTTTGATTCTGATAGAACTATTCTTTTGTCATCCACAAATCTTACAACTCTGATATCTCCAGTTTCTTCGACACAAAGTTGAACTCCATGTGCCTTTAGATCTGTTGAATCCTTGCCTTCCTCCAAGAGGATATTATGGACATAAGCTCCACCTTGAATACTAACATCTATACATATCTGCCCATAAGGATCATCCCAGGAGAAGTTTGAAGTTGATAATGGTTCCAACTGAATACAAAAGTCATCACCTAAACCTGATTGGCGAAATCTCACTGTTCTATCAGCCATCCTGTTCTCAATCCTGTTTGCCAAAAAAATCAATAGTTTATAAACTGAAGTGCTCAATGTTCCTTAATGTTGCTACCATGTTCAACTGGAGAAAAAATTAAGGGAAAAAAAACCTGATAGGACCATTTTCTGGTTCCATACGCAACACCACTAAAAACCGTGATCCCTCTTCATAACCACGAATCTCAACCCTCAAATATGTCCTACCACCATGATGCTCCCTCAACGCAATAGTGACGGTGTCTTCTTTCTCAATTTCCAAAGGTAAGCACCAGCTTGTATTTTGCAGGCGAACCTTAAAGAGTTAAAACAGTTCTTTTTAGCATAATATAACATAATATAAAGTTATCATTAAAGTGAGTTACGTTTTGCAGTAAACCTAAACCGGTAAGATAAAAAAAAGCAACTTTTGCTTGGTTTTGCCAGATTAAATATCAAATTAAACAGTAAATAGAACACAATTTGAAAACTAAAAAAGAAAACTTATAAAAGAAAATAAAAGGTAAAAAATACTGTTACTAATGTTCCAAAAATATGATAATATTAATGGACACAATCACTCCCGGAAATGATCATGGTAGTATAGGTAGAAAGCCTTCCCCCAAATCTAGAAAAGTAGCCTTCCAACCCAATACTGAAAATGCACTCCTCAGATTGCAGAAAGGGGAGTGCTTGAAGCTGCATATTGAGATCAAGCTTGTTCATCTTCACCCAATTCCTTAAATCACATTAGCAATATTATAGGTGCATAGAGTAACAGTCATATGGTCTAGCCAGTCGATCATTTTGTTCCTTTATTCCCCCTTCACCGTTATATTTGAATTCATGATTTACGACTCCTCCCCTTTTTCAAACAAAAATTTACTAAGGTAGGGTCAAGCTAATATATATGATATGGGCAACAGCATCCCCAGCTGCATTAAATTCTAATACAACCATATGCAGTATCTATGTTCCCATTAGTTACCACTAGAAACCATTTCCCTTCTGCTGGTGTTGGAAAGTTAGAAGCCCCTGTAGCTTGAAGTGTCACACACCTTTGGAGCAATAGAGATCTAGTACTGGATAAGATAAAGGTAAATGGATCGTTGTAAGCTGCCCAAATTCTATGAATCAATAGGAGCACATAAGACTTCATAGGTCAAGCTAAATCTAAGTTCACTCCAAGAAATTTCTTCATATTGTTCTTTGAAGATTTTTGGGCATAAGATAGTCTTATCTGAAATTGAGGAAATCAAACATCCAAACTCAAGCGGAGAGCAACTACAGCACTCCAACAACAACAACAACAACATCAAGCCTTTATCCCACTACGTGGGGTCGGCTACATGAATCCTTTTTCTCCATTGTGTCCTATTAAAAGCCAAATTCTCGTTTAAATCTAATAAAGAAAGGTCATTCCTAATATTTTCTAACCAAGTCTTTTTAGGTCTACCCCTACCTTTCTTAACACAAGTCAAATCTAATACCTCTACTCTCTTAACTGGGTCGTCGGAAGGCCGCCTTTTTATGTGACCAAACCATCTAAGGCGACTCTCTCTAATCTTTCTTAACAACTACAGCACTCCCTTTACAAAAATTTAGCAAATAGCCCTTTTTCCTTGCTGATTTCAGCAACACTTTTTCCAGCAAGCCTTCAGTAAACAACTCTACTTCTTACCTGATTTCAGCAAATTCCAACTATATTTCTTAGCTGATTTCAGCACTATCTTAACCTGATTTCATATACCTGTATCCAGAATTCCAACCAGCAATTCAGCAATTCAGCATTTACAGCAGCTCATACTTCATTTCCCTACTGATTTTCACACTTTCAGATTTCTGCATTCAATGATTGCATGCGACCTGCTCCTGTTTGAATGTAGAAGGCAATTGACGGGGAGGAGAAGGAATGGGAATTGGCTAGTGCTTTACTTTGTTGACCACCGGACAAAGAAACAAAATAGAAAAAAAAATGCTAAACAAAAATCCCATAAATCCCGTTACCTGACTATTCGGCGCCGCTAGTGTTGCTTCTCCGCGATTCCTGCAGGAGTTCTGCTGAATCGGACTCTTTTCGCGTCGTTAAATAGGAGACGAAGAGGCTTCCATTCCATTTGCTACCTTCTCCACTGCCGAAGCTCTCTCCACGCGGAATCTCCACTCTCTCGCTGCTTCTTGGCTTCTTCGCTCTTCTCTTCCATTCGCAAGGCCACGACCAAACTCCACCCTCTGTCTCCACCAAACTCCGATCTCCCCTCCTCTCCAGAGCAAACCGAACCCAAGACCTCTTCCTTCCCCATCTCTGCCTCTCCCGAAACCAGATCTCTACCTCTTGCCCGACCTATCGGTCGTCCCGATCTAGAGAGAAAGAGAGAGAGAGCTCCGATCCAAACCCTTCCACCTCTGCCCTTACCTGACGTCCCCTTCTAGGACGTTCTTTCTTGTCGGACCGAAAGCAGAGAAGGGAACTTGCTATGAAGGTAACTTCTCCCTCGCGCGCTTCAGTCAAATCCCGTAGACCCATTAAGCAGAGAAAGGGAAATAGGGCATTTAAATTTTTGTGAGAACTAAGTGTCCTAATCTTGCTCAAATGCATAAAATCTATCCAAATCCGAGCAATCCTAACTCTAATTACAAATATTTGTAATTAATTGTAATTAATTTGAACTAATTTTAATTAATTAGTATTTATTATAAATTGATTATTATTAATGTTAATTAACTATGATTAATTTTAATTAATCATAATTAATTAATCATTAAATACTAATTAATTGTTAATTCAAATTAATCAATATTAGTCACAATTAATTATAATTAATCATTACAGTTAATTATAATTAAAAAAGAGAAGCTCACTCTTCTCTTTCCTCGATCCACATGCCAACCCCGCAAAGGTACGAATATTTCTAAAACTCAGATTCTCGCTCTCGAAGTTTGCGGCGCACCGGAAAATCGCCTATACACGCCTTTATTGCGCGTGGTGGGATGGGACCCCGGTGCGGCACCTACGACGAGGCGGGTGATCACCTTAAACTCGAAAGCCCGTTCTAAGAGTTTGCGGCGGACCAGAAAACAGCCTATACACGCCATTATTGCGCGTGGTAGGACGGGACCCCGGTGTGGCACCTACAACGAGGCGGGTAATCACCCAAAGCCCTACATCAATGTTCGTGACGGACCAGAAAACTGCCTATACACGCCTTTATTGCACGTGGTGGGATGGAACCCCGTTGCGGCACATACGGCGAGGCGGGGTCGCTCATAAGTACACCCTCGAGTGAGGTGAAAGCAAACTGTCTTTTTTTAAACAAGTATCGTTAAAGACCCCAAACACGCCTTTATTGCGCGTGGTGGGAAGGCCCAATTTATCGTAGTTTTCCCCAAAACGGGGAGATGCCAGGAGGCTGCCGAAATTTTGGGTGAACACGAGCCGTACTTGGACTTGATTTGCATATCAAATGAACAAAAAACGGGACTTGTACTTGAGCTTTTGAACAAAATCTAAGTGACTTAATAAATATTTGAACCCAAATAAAAAATGTGCAAGAGGCTTAATTTGAATTGAAATTGAATTTGAACAAGGACTTGGACAAGTTGACAACGAACTTGTGAGCTTGATTTGGACTCAAGCAAAACCAGAACTTTTGACATTGAACTTGAACAATGAAATGGACTTGTATTTGGACACAAAGCAAATGATTAACAAAACATACTTGAATCTAATGAGTTCAAACTTGGACTTAATTTGAACATCAAATGGATATGACTTGAACTAGTTAGATTCAAACTCAAATGAATAAAGAACTTGATTCAAACTTGACTTGAGTAGTTGAACTCAAGTAAGGATTTGAATGAATGTAGAAGACTCATATTGAGTTTGAGCTCAAGCATGAATTGAACTTGGGTTCAAACACATACACAGAACATAACTTGAATCATATGCAAGAGATATCTTGAACATGAGCTAAATAGCATCATGCGGAGTTTGAAATATTTGAAAAAACAACTCTTGTAACATGCCTATGAAAAAGAAAGGATAAATGAATGACAATCATCTCAAGTCAAATACAAAAAGGGATTATGAAAGGCATGGCTTGATCGCAAAGTCACTACATGAGGGCCTCAGGAGCATGATAATAGATTTGAAAACATGATTCATCCCCAAGCAACAATCAATAGGAATCATCACCTCAATTGAATGATTATTGTATAAGAGCTCCAATGGATGTTGTAGTTGACCCTTGAAAGCTACTCCAACAAAAGTGTAAATCTTCTATCAACAATAATGAACTTCACGGAAGTTTGTAGTGTCTTAAGGATACAAGCAACAGTTGCTAGAAGAATTGAAGGACGCACAAGCAAATACACTAATTGTAGCAAACATACACATGTGCAACGATGACAATCAACAACGAATAACAAATGCTGCAATACATTTGCAGTCAATAAACAATCAATGGTTATGAAATACATTGATTCACTGCAAGCAAAGATGGAAGATATGCGGTGGATGTAGGCACCTACGAGTTATCATAGAAGATCCATTGTACACCGAACGTGGTATTTGCAAGCAAAATACAAAAGGACTACGATAAATACCAAATCCTACAATCTGCTAAAGGAGGCCCGTTATACATTCAACTCAATATCTGCGAGCAAATGTAAAAGATCTGCAATACATACAAGCTCTCTACGAAGACAGATCTATGTATAACATGCCACTTATGGGTAGACACAGAAAGACGTCAGTAAATGTAGTATAATGTAGTCAATTTAGGCTGTAAATGAAAACATCTACCTACCTACATGCAGCAGTAGCGGATGTACCAAAAAGACCAAAGACCACAATAAAATGCATGGAGAATATAAAAAGTGCAAGCTCCTACGACCCAAAGCAGAAGATTCGTTAATGCACTATGATCCATTTGCAGAAAGCAACAAATAGTGCACGACAGTCTACCTGTATAAAACAGCGAAACAACTCAATTCATAAACTGCTACAATACGCCACCAAATCTGCAACATCCATGCAAGCGGACATAAGGCGTCTACAATTTAGAACGACCGCCAATGGATCCGCAACATCCATGCAAGCGCACAGAAGGCGTCTACAATCTACAACGACCGACACCGGATCCGCAACTTCTATGCAAGCGGACAAAATGTGTCTACAAATACTTTCAAAGTACCCCCGCACGTGCACCGTAGTTTGTATACACATATGTATACTAAAAGGGGTAAAAACAATCATAAAACCCGCATGGGCCCTGGTGAGCGTGTTATTGGTACACACGTGACGTCTAGGAATGC